AAGAAAATGCAGTTCTATCTTGTCCAAACTGTTCTGGTGAACACATGCTAGATCTATATAAAACAATTTCCCTTTCAAAGAATTACAGATTATCTATTTTTTAGAGTGATAAAATATTGTCAGAGATGGAGGTAAATACATTTTATTCCACTGCAGATGTTAAAATAGAGATTTTCTTTTACTTTAAGTATTCTTGCCATGACCGCCACTCTTCTTAATTCTTCAAAGATTACTGATAATGGTTCAAATATGTCTTCAAAGTATTTCAGTTTTCTGGATACTGACGTATGTGCCCACTAATACTAATTAAGTACCTTATGTTTGCCCTCATATTTTAAAAATTCTTATAAAATCAATCTGTGATTGAGATAATTGAGAAAACAGCAAAAAGTATAAAGAAAATAAACACAATTCTTTATTCCCTTTCAGAGATAACCAGTATTAACACTACTTCCAGGCTAATTTTCATTTAAAACATATATACTTTTTAAAACTAGGAAAATAGATTATGTGGTTTCTCTTCCTGATTTTTCACTTAGACTATATCATACGCATCACCTCTTGGGATTACAGATTCCACAAATACATCATTTAAATTATGGCATAATTTCATCAAATGGACTTATTTACCCTATTATTTCCTTTATTATTAGAAATTAGTTCCCATTTCATATCATAAATAATACTGTGATAAATATCTTTATACAGACCTCTGCGCTCTGATTCCCTTAAAGCTTAAAAGTAGAATCATGAGTCAAGGAGCCCAAGTTTATCAGGTATTTTACTCACTTTCCCAATCAACTCCCAAATTAATTATATCAGCATTGAGTAAAATTTTCTCCAATCCTAATCAACCCGAATGAAAATTATATTTTGCTATTTAATTTATAATTCTTTAAATATTTGAATAGTTGAAACCTTTTTACTATATTTGTTGGCCATTGATTGTTTTTTCCTATGCATTTTTGGTTCACTTTATTTTTCTACTTTATAGGTAAAGTGGTTTCTTACTAATTTTAAGGGCTTATTTTATATAAAGAATACAAATTTGCTTTATATTCTTTATATATTTTGTGTACATTGCAAAAAAAGTTTGTCTTTGCACTGAATTTTATTGGAATGAAATTTTGGAGTAGTCATATTACAAGCTTACTCTCTAAAATGTCTTTCATTGCTACTTTTCTTAGAAAACTCCATGGTCATTGGAAGATTGGTTATAGTTATATTTTCATGTATGTTTTCCAGTAATTATTTAGAGTTTTAATTTTTTTAATAATTATTAGTTGATGTTCCTCAAAATAGCAGATTTTCCACCAATGATATTTTGAATAATCAGTTCCTTATAGAATTGGTTTGTGACCTTTACTTCCTTTGTTTTTACCTCCATCCCATTCATGCATCGATTCAAAAATATTTACTGAATACTTAACCATGTAGTGGGTTCTGTTAGGGAGGCATCTCGGATATATTAATGAACAAGGCAGACAGACTCCTTGCTGTCATAGATCTTACACACTAAAATTCAAGGCTATTATAATTGAATGTGTTATTAATAAAGAATACTCTTTTTCAATGTTTTCGTTTCAAGGTGTATTTTTCGGTACTACTATTGCCATTTCTGTATTCCTTTACCAAACCAGATCAATGTATTTTAGCTGTCTCTTTTAAGTAGCATGTAGTTGGATTTTGTCTATAAAGTCAATCAAGAATAGCCTTTTATTAGGAGAGCTTAAAGCACTTAGGTATAGTACTATACCTACTGTTTGACAGTATCATTTGTCATCTTGTTTTATTGTTTTACACTTCCTTTGTAAGCCCTTGTTGTTGTTGTTGTTATTATGACTACTTAGTGAGTCTTATGAGCCAGGCAATTGGACTTAGCACATGAAAGTTAATACCTATGAACATTTTTGAGTGTTTACAACATGCCAACTACTGTGCTCTAAATGATATTTTTTCATTTAATCCTCACAATCCCACTGCATGGATACTATTTTATAGAAGTTTTATAAAACAAAAAACTTCTTTAGTGATTATAAGTATCAGTGAAATAGTATATATTCCTTCACGTGTGATAAATTATGCAAACTTTTATACTTCTTTCCCACTTTGAATTATTCACTAGAATTAAGTAGATCTAAGATCCAAATAATGTTATAAATTATTTTGACTGCTCTTTAGATGATTATTTTTGACAACTGCATTCAGTTGTAAACACCATATCTTACTGGTTACATTGCTTTTGAGCAATCCTTTAAGAAACTGCTCTCCCCTTTTGAATTATTCATTTTTATTCACCTTTCAGTGGGAAGAGTATATTTTTACCTAGAAAGATGTGTGGATGGTACTTTCCCTAAATTTCTGCATGCGTGACTAAGGCAAAGCATTTTCTTCTTGGCCTGTCTATCTTAAAATTCATGATTACTTTGTCAGTACAGATTCCGTTTCTTCTATTTCATCAATTAACTCTTTTTGTAGGTCAAGTTAAAGATTAAAGTAGCAGAACACCCCTTCTCCACCTGCTTTCTTATTTTTCTATCCAGTGGCCTGACCTAAATAAGGCCAGTATTGGACCTGGACAAGAAGAGTTAAGCCTCAGGCAGTGGCTTATTATTTTACCTGCATCTCTGATGCTGCTACCTTTGTGCAGAAGATGCTGTGCTCTTTCTGTCCTGATTCTTGGCATGGCTATGGCTCTCAGGCCCTCCAGTGCCTTTGATTTTCCATTTCCTCCTTACCAGGCTGGTTTCTGATCCCCACTAACAAGACTCCTCTAATTTCGGGCCTCATACCTGGCTGGTCTTTGCTGCTTACCTGCTCACCCTGCATTTGACTCATGGTCCCATCTGATACATAGTACCTTTGGGTACCTTAGTTTTCTACCACACTCATATTTCTAGTCAAATTAGAGTATGAATGGAGGCTCAGGAGTTCAAAGCCTGGCTCAGCCTCTTGGTAGCTAGTTGATCTAAATAAGCCTTTATAAGCCTTGATTTCCTCATCTTCACAATGCAGATGATCACAGCATCTATCCCTATGTGTTGTGAGGATAGATAAGATAATCAACATAAAGCCTAGTCCACAGGAAATAATAAATATTAACAATTATTAACCAATATTTCAAATAATGTATTATACTTCCCCACAATTCTTAATCATAATTCTTCACATATTGTAGGAGGGGAAAAACGCCAGCTTTTTCAAAAGGAGTAATTTGGGGGGAATGCCCAGTGCTGTATGACAAGGTATCATTGGCTCTTCACCTTCTAATCCCTCATTCTTTATTTTATGCTTAATACATAACATAAAGCTCATTGAAAAGAAAAGAATATTTCAATCATTAACTGTGTTTTGAATAGGAAGCCATTTCTTAACCTGTTGAGAGAGAGAATTTTTAAGGTGGGTAATTATATTGACTTTGATGACTGAGAGTTATATTTTTACCCTATGTTTATACTTCCAGTATCAGTTTAAAAAACTTGGTAGTCATACGTAATCACACTGATATGTGTTAGAACAAATAAAATGTGATATAAATATTCTGAAACTATACCATAATTTAGCAGATTATTTATCAATAACCAACAACCTCCTCAATTAAATTACTAGAAACCACCACAGCAAAACAACTGCTAATCCAGAAAACAGGAAATAAGGGAAATGAAAGATGTATAAAAAACATTTGGGAGATATGGAATCTATCCCATGTGTGCTGTAAAGAGCTCGTAATTTAAGAATGCCAAAGCCCAAGTGTGTTATGAGGGTCTTTCCTCAAAAGTGACATTAATTGCATATCCCATAGATGCTTATTATGTATTCTATTCATATCAAAGTATAATATGTAGTCAAAAATATACAGATTCAATATATTTAAGAGTGATAATAAAACAGTTACTCTGGCCTAGCAAAAACTGTTATTTTTAAACTTCAATTTTTGGTCTTTTTATAAAAGAGTATTTATAGTATTAAGTATTAAGAAAGCAGTATTGAATCTTTGTATTTGAATCTGCTGTGATCAAGGGTCTTTTGGACTCAAAACAAGACATACTCAGGGATGGAACTGTAACAGTAATATTTTAGAGGCTTCTGCACAAAAATAATTCCCAGGTGATGGAATCACAGGACATTCTTATTCTCATATTAAAAATGAAGATACCAAACAGCAACTCTTAGAAATCACCTTGGAAAGTTGGAAATGATACAGTCAATGTTTTACTTTGGAAATTAGTAGGCATGCACTGACAGGCCCCTACAGAACTTAATTTTTAAAAAGTCTAATACTTATCAATAATTGGCAAGCAAAAGACAACTCAAGATGTTAATTATTTGAATTAACGTGAGAGAAATTTCATTTTAGGTGCAACAGGAGCAATCTTTCATAAAGTTAATGAAAAACAGTATAAATTACTTTTAGGAAATATTATTTTATAATATCACTTAGAAAGTATTAAATATTTAATTGCAAATTAACTTTGTTCAACCTAAATAGTAAGTTGATTTAACATTTCCTAACAGAAAAACCAGCTACAATTATCCAGGAGATAATGCACTAAAATACATAAAATAACCCCATTAATAATCCCATTAATATGGGTCTTACTCCCATATTTCAAGATAAATATCATCAATTTATTTAAAATTAAGATAAGCTAATTTGGAATGACTTTAGCCAATGTTTGTACAATTAATATTTTTACACTAATTATTAATTCTAATTCTGTTAAATGCATTTATTAGCAAAATGCAACAGATGCATTTATATATGGCATATCTGCTACATCAGGAGACTCCCACATATATTCTCCTATAAAAAACAGAAGAAAAACTACTTCTAAAAACAGGGTAATTATAAAATCATTTTCTTAAAGATAACCACACCCATATCAGAGGGCAGATTTAAATAAATTTTAATGTATCATGCAACTGCTAAGATTGACTAAAATTAGAAACCTGGACTCAATGTGGGATATAATTTCATTTTGCTAAATAACCCTTTCTCCACCATGTAAACAACTTTCTCCCAACAGCAACAGACAGTAGCATCAGCAATTATTTAGATTAATATGACTTGCATGACATAAAATAAACAATTTCAATTCATTTCCATGAGATAAAGACCCACAAAATTTATTACCTTCAAGGACATAAGATTATTGTGCCAAATTGCTATGATCTGTTTCTAAAAGTTCACTCTCCACTTCTACACTATCTCTTGAGAACCACTGGTGCAAAGGATAACTATTATGTTTCCACTTAAGTAGAAACTTGTATGCTTCAGTGAAGCAAACATAGAAAGCCAAAGCCAGAGCTGGAAGGGTGCATGAATCACATGGTACATCATATTGATAGAGCCATGATATCCTAATTCAGTAATTATAATGACAGATAATGACAACAAAAGCAGTGCTAAACATATATTGAATGTTTATTCCAAACTGAACACTGATCTTTATATATTACGATTTAACTTTCATAGGCACTCCATGAAGCAGGTACCACTATTTTTCATCTCCATTACACAGATGAAGAAACCAAGGCTCTAGGTGGTTAAACAGGTCTGTTTCATTTCAAAGCCTGTGCTTCTAACTGCTATTTTATATTATACTGATATTATCCTTTGGGCCCAAAGATTCTAACAGTCATCAATAGGAAATATACAGGTGAGCAGTACAGCTTAGGGTAGCATAAACACATAGGAAAATTCAACCACACTGTCCCACAAATAGAAATAATAAAATCAACTTTAATAAGTGATATGAGAAAGTAACACTCTTACACTATAAAATGTAGTACAGCCCAATTAAGAGAATGAATGACTTCTTCAAAGATTAAAACAATTACATATTTTTAGATAATGCAGATGAGATTCTATACAAAAATAAAGGGATAACTGAGTCAACTATGGTTACCACAAGCCCTAATTTTGTTAGTACAGCTGAAAATAAAGTTGAAAGGATTAAGAGTAATTATGTCATGGATCATAGAATTTTATTGGGAAGGTGCTGGCTGGATATCAAAGAAGCTCTATGAATCATTATTATGAAGAGAAAGCTGATGTGAACTAATGTCTGATAAGGAAACCAGAACACACTAGTTATAAATCATTGTACCCAAGTCCATGCCTCGACCACCGTAAGGTGAAGCACCAGCTTGGCCAAAGAGGTAACAAACAATAGAGCACTTCAAAGAAATGATCAACGTGTCTGACATTAGTTTCTTTCTTCAATATTTAAGACCAATTTCTAGACTCGCAAAAATTCTTGAGGCTATAAAATGGATTTCTGTATTTGAGTAAACCAATTCTTTGAGTGCAGAGTAGAGAGGAATATAGAATCTGCCTCCTGACCTTGCCACGAGGTATTTTAAAATAAATCTTTACTCTATAATCACAAATATATTAGCTAGACTTTGAAGTGTAAGAAATGCCAGTTCATTAATAACGTACAATGCTGCCAAGGACCCACGTTCCCCAGAACTTTCTCACTTCCATTGGGAATGACAGAGCTGCTCTCAATGACGAAATCAAGCTTAAGTCACAGAAATGAAAACAGGCATCATGAAAACAGGAGAGCAGAAATATGAATTCATATTCATTGAGCATCTACTATGTATATCTCAGTAACAGCTTCTCAATTTTCCACGTTCTATCTAGTTGACAGATGGGATTTGCAGGAAATATCTACCGGGGAACTGCCCAGCACCAGACATAAATGTCATATTGTTTCTATTTAAAGGATCATTTTGTTGTCTGTAGCACTACACAACTAATTCATATTTATTAAAGTTGCTATCTTTCTAATTTGCCTACTCATGTTATAAGCCACTGAATGCATATACACACACACACACACACACACACACATACACACACACACACACACCCCTAAGGGTAACTGGCTCCATATTCTGCTATAGCATATGCCACAGAAGTCATCTGGCTGAAGATGACTAATATATTATTTTCACCGTGAGGGACATTTATCTTACTTTTAGAAATGCACTTCTGAGGGTAGAGCAGATAAGCACACTATAAAATGGAAAGAACATGAATATCTTACAGGATAGTTTGGGTTCCGGGCGGGCTTCACTGTGTACAATCAGTGTGACCCCGCACTTCTCAGAATGCTTGGTTTAATGATCTGCTGTTGCCATCTTGAAATTCCCACTAACTTTTTTTAAAGGGCCATTCATTTCTATTTTACGCTGGCTCTGCAGATGATAGAGCCAATTCTGCCTGGATTTGAATTATGACTTCACTGTTCAATATGTGTAAGTTTATTGTAAACCTTAGTTTCTTCCTCTGTAACAAAGGGGTAACGTTAGATGAAATAGGACATATGAGAGCAATGAGCACAGAGTCTGGCACACAGAACACAAAAGGAGATATGAAATGTAATGTAGCCGGCATAGCTCTTACTCTTACTTCTATGAATCTGAAACATACAGAAACCACCATAAGTCATAATTAGGTGTTGCTGAAATTTAAACTTGAATACTTACAACCCATATATCTGTGGTGCAATTTCTAGTCTATTCAGGTGCATGTAAAGCTCAATATCATGCTTCTTTAGTAGATGATCCTGGATCTGGTTGACTTTAGTAACAATAGCAACTGTTGGCCCCAAATCCTGTGGTCTAGCAAAGGGGATAGGAGTCATCAGGGTTTCTTTCCCCTAAACACAGGAAAAATGGAACATGTATTATTTCAATGTGAAGTTAACAAACACATGGACATCATTTTTGAACGTATTTATCAATGGAAGTTTAGAGAAGAACCAACAACTACTTTAACCAACTCAGGAAAAAAGCTTAACATGTGGGATCATAAACTGATCGTCACATAGATGACTGTGCCCATAAAGGCCTTGAAATATCTTCTAAAAATTTTCTACTTGCATTCCCTCGACCACTTTATCTGGTGACATTAAGTCTTATAAGATAATTTGGGCTAGAGGTAGTGGTGGCCACTAGTCTATCTGTCCATGGCCAGTTTGTCTCAGCAGCAGCCATAGTACCTAAATGGCACACTCTGAGGAAAATATATTTCTTGTGGCATAAAAGTTAAACATGAAAAAAAGTAATTGAAAACTGTCTTGGGCTTCCCTAGTGGCGCAGTGGTTGAGAGTCCGCCTGCCGATGCAGGGGACACGGGTTCATGCCCCGGTCTGGGAAGATCCCACATGCCGCGGAGCGGCTGGGCCCGTGAGCCACGGCCGCTGAGCCTGCGCGTCCGGAGCCTGTGCTCTGCAGCGGGAGAGGCCACAGTGGTGAGAGGCCCGCGTACCGCAAAAAACAAAAACAAAACAAAACTGTCTTACTTTGAGCTCTCAAAACTATAAAAAAGTCAAGAAATAAAGCAAACCAGTACTAGAAAAGAAGACATCCTCTAACTTTCCTTTGATCAATTTAAATAGCTCGGTAGAAAGATTTTTAAATTCTTCAGACCAAAAATGTAGCTGACTTAAAAAAAAAAAAAAAAATCTATGTGGGCAGTACAACTTCCATTCCTGCCACCCAATATTAAGAAAGATCTGTAACTCCTTGTAATGCTTTCATGTAAACGTCAATTGCCCCCTCAAGTCTGATGATATACCCTAATATATCATGGTTGACCTTTCTTCTGACGTACAGTTCCCAGTTTCTACCTCTCTCCAATACTGGGATTTATAGCATCTTCTCTCATGATTATCTGCCTGTCACTCATCCTCAGTCTACTCTAGTTCAAATTCTTGTTTCTGTTTCACACATGCTGCTTTTTCATACAGTTCTGGTCTCAGTTTAATCTCTACTTACATGCAGTTCCCTGAGTGAGCTCAGTCATTCACAGTGCTTCAACCAAAACCCATTCTCCAAAGACTTCCTAATCTGTATTCGTAACCTAGAACTCTGGAGTGCTTCCCGCACGCTCAAATGTCGGCGAAGAATGTCAGATTGCCGAAGGGTCTCGAATTCAGCAGGCCTGCAACTGAGCTCATCACCTTCCGCTCAAAAACATGTTCATCCTCTCCCATGCCTACCTCAACCCATCCTCCAATACGAACACCTGGTTTGCCAATTGTAGCTCCTCAGAACCACTCAGGGGACTCTTGTATATGTCTCTTCTTCGGCGCCAACACCCTGACTTGGGGCCCTAATCATTCCTTTGCTCCTCGTCTTGCTGCTCCCCCAATTTAGTCTGCTTTAAATCCATCTTCCAAAATGCCTGGTGATCTATCTAAAGCAGGTATTAGATTATGCCAGATTGCCCTCCTTAGACACTTTTTTTTTTTTTTTTTTTGGCCACGCCACACAGCACGCTTAGTTCCCCAGCCGAGCAGGGACTGAACCCGTGCCCCCTGCAGTGGGAGTGCGGAGTATTAACCACTGGACCACCAGGGAAGTCCCTCCTTAGACATTTTTAATAGCTCCCCATTATTTTCACTCTGGGAAAAACAAAACGAAACAGTTCAAATTCTTTAGCCAGGCCGGCAAGGCTTTCCATCATCTAGTTCTGTTCTCACTGTGCTTCCAGAGATACTGGGGATGCCATTCTTTTACCTGAAATATCCCCTCCCCACTGAGGAACCCCCATGTGTATTTTAAGATTTGGCTCAAGTGCCAGGTCTAGTTCATTATCCTCTTCTCTGCTCCCACAGTATGTGTTTCTACTTGTGTTCCTCCTAAACTGTGAGATCTCTGAAAGGAATAACATCTTTTTGTCACTGGACCGCATTCAGGGGCATAAAGATAAAAAAGGTAAGCTCTTGCCCTCATCATTTGGAGGGGAAAAAAAGCTCTGAATTCTGTGTGAGAGCTGTGACTAATCAGGCTGGTAGAAAGCACAGAAGAGAGGAGGGGAGGGTCCTGTGTCAGTCCAGGGAGAAGGGGCTCCATCTGTCTGTCCAGGATCATTTCAAGTCTTAAAAAAGAAAAGCAGCCCTTTGGACTTCCTACAGTGTCTGCCCTAGAGTATTTAGGTCCAAAGGACATAAGACCATATTCATCTTTAGGGCTCAATTCATTTTTGTTAATTTGTATAGACAGGAGAAAGGGAAACCTCTATATTGTGCTCATTTATTATAAAAATAGTACATCCAAAACACCTTTTTCTGATTTTGTAACATCTAGTACTCTCTTCAAATAACAGGATGCTTTAACTTAAAAGGACTTCCCCTGAGCTCAGAACACTTTATAGTAAAATCTCTTAAACTTAAAAAACTTGAAAGTAATGTTTCTGATCACTTAATGCTAAACAGCACAGCTCATCTAACAGTAAAAAATCAAAAACAGTGAAGATAGAGTTAATGTAAAACACTTCCTTATCTTCAGGATTTCTTATTATAAAGAATGCTACTTGCATATAACATATATGATCAAATAAGACAGCCACAACTACCGATAAAACTAGAAAACTTTTCTAACCACTTATTAGTGGTATGCAAAGTGTGTTCTACAGATCATTGCCAGGCCACAGACTGAGCAATGCAGCAAGATAATGATTTCACACCATTACCATTATGTAAACCAACACACTGCTTCCTTCATCAAGAAAGTCTTATTATAAAAAGTACGTCGCTAAACTAGCCAGCATGCACAGTGATATGACTGAATTTTCTGGGGAACTAGAAGACCTGCACGATGGAGTGATACATTAATTTCTCGAACTTCTTTTTAAAAAGATGATCGAATCATGAAAAAGAACAAAAAGGGAGGATGAAAAAGGGATTCACTAGATACGCTTTTTAGGAATATATTATGCACTGATACACACAAATAATTAATATGAATTCTCAGAGGTCACATCTATGTGTTCTTTGATAAAATAAATGTCTTTGTGTTGTCTTACCATTCTCATGACATGACTCAGTGAAAGCAATATGAACAAGTAAAAGTACAAACTGGCAGCCCTCTCATTTTTACCATTCAGTTTCTCAGATGCTGTGAATCAGTTATAAAATACAAAATGACCATTGCGTAAAATGATCATGAGGCCTGTTAATTAAATGTCTTCAAAAACTCTGCTCAGAATCTGATGTTCACATAAGTCTATGACTCCATCAGATCACCTGCTGAGAATATACAGCTACTGTTCATCACACATGCTTACAGCAAACTTCCCCTGTAATAACCCTTACCGAATGGAGCATGGTGATATACAGCTGGAGTAAGACTTTATCACCTAAGCTCGGGGTAGACAAACTTTCTCTGGAAAGAGCCAGATGGTAAACATTTGAGACCTTCCAGGTCATACAGTCTGTGCTGCAACCACCCAGCTCTGCCTTTGTAACGAGAAAGCAGCCGAAGACAGTAAGTAAACAAGTAGGCATGGCTGTATCCCCACCAAACTTTTTTTATGGACATGGAAATTTGCATTCTATATAATCTTCATGTCACCAAATATTATTCCTCTTTTGATATTTTTTTCAACCATTTAATAATGTAAAAGCCATTTTTAACTCACAAGCCTTACAAAAACAGATGGCAGGCCAAATGGGCCTGCAGGCAGTAGTTCGCCCTGACCTCGACCAAAGGCATAAAAAGCATTAGTTATCCATCTCACTTGCTAAGGGACGGAGTGAAGGGACTGAGTAATACGTGGCTTCTAACTAGAACTCATTCAATTATACTAACATAAAATAAATTAGTCATATAGAAAATAATATACCAAAAACTCTTAACAACAGCCCTTGCCAGAATAATCTGCAATTTTTCCAATAAATGATCTCTAAGTTAGCATATATGGTTGTTTAAAATGACAGTTAATTCGGCAATACCACTCCTAGAGATATGCCAAGAGAACTGAAAACATATGTTCACATAAAAGTTTGTATACAAACGTTCCTAGCAACATTATTTTTGTTTGTTTGTTTGTTTGTTGTTGTTTTGTTTTGTTTTGCGGTACGCAGGCCTCTCACTGTTGGGGCCTCTCCCATTGCGGAGCACAGGCTCTGGACGCGCAGGCTCAGCGGCCATGGCTCACGGGCCTAACCGCTCCGCAGCATGTGGGATCTTCCCGGACCGGGGCACGAACCCGTGTCCCCTGCATCGGCAGGTGGACTCTCAACCACTGCGCCACCAGGGAAGCCCACAACATTATTCTTAATAGTCAAAAAGTGAAAAGAACCCAAATGTCACCAACTGAGGTATGGAAAAACAAAATGTGGCATGTATCTATGCAATGAAACATTATTTAGCCCTGAAAAGGGATGAAGTACTGACACATGCCACAACATGAATGAACAGTGAAAACATTATGCTAAGTGAAAAAAGTCAGTCACAAAAGGTCACATATTGTATGATTCCATTTATATGAAATGTCCAGAATAGGCAAGTCCAAAGGAACAGAAAGTAGATTAGTGATGCCCAAGGCTCTAGGGAGGGGGAAATGGGGAGTGACTGCTAATGGGACTAAAAGGATTTCCTTTTAGGGTGTTGAAAATGCTTTGAAATTAGATAGCGGGGACATTTGCACAACCTTGTGAATATACTAAAACCCAATAAATTGTACACTTTAAAAAGGTGAATGTTACGGTATGTTAATTATTTCACAATAAAAATTATAGTTAAAGAATAAAGGTAAGAGGGAACCCTCCTACCCTGTTGGTGGGAATGTAAATTGGTACCGCCACTACGGAGAACAGTATGAAGGTTCCTTAAAAAACTAAAAATAGAATTACCATGGCATCCAGCAATCCCAATCCTGCACATCTATCCAGAGAAAACTCTAATTCAAAAAGACACATGCACCCTAATGTTCACAGCAACACCACTTACAAAAGCCAGGACATGGAAGCAACCTAAATGTCCATCAACAGAGGAGTGGATAAAGATGTGGTACATATACACAATGGAATATTACTCAGCCATAAAGAAGAATGAAACTGGACCTAGACATTGTCATATGAGTGAAGTAAGAGAGAGAAAGAAAAATACCATATGATATCACTTATACGCAGGATCTTAAAAAAGGGTACAAATGAATTTATCTACAGAACAGAAATAGAGTTACAGATGTAGAAAACAAACTTATGGTTACGGGAGGTGTGGGGGGGTAGGGATAAACTGGGAGATTGGGATTGACATAATCACACTACTATACATGAAATAGATAACTAATAAGGACCTACTGTATAGCACAGGGAACTCTACTCAATACTCTGTAACGGCCTATATGGGAAAAGAATCTAAAAAAGAGTGGACATATGTATACGTATAACTGATTCACTTTGCTGTACACCTGAAACTAACACAACATTGTAAATCAACTATATTCCAATAAAAATTATTAGGAAAAAAAAAGAATAAGGGTAAGAGAGAGTAAGGATAAATGGTATTGATGCTAAACATATAAATTCAATTTAGTGATGCATTAGTAAAAGCAAAACAACCTATTTGACACAGAGTTTATCTACATACTTCCGTGCCTATCAACTCACCAGGACAGCACAGATCAAGTAGATAAATACTCTTTTCATTCAAAGTTTATAATAGTTTTTATGAAATTATATTGCATGCAAAATATACGCACATATAAGTTTCTATTTATTTATATGAAAATTTTTATATTACCTTTGTAAATCTGTCAATAATTAGAGATATGATTTAGACCCCCAGTTCAAACTTACTCCACAGGTATCTTCATATTTTCATTTTTTTATAATGATAATAATGGCTTTTATTCTGATTATATGTTGTTACTAAAATCATTTGTCCCCTCAAATATATTGAAAAGATCTGTACTGTAAGATTTACCTTTTGACCATCATGCTCAAAAGTAGAAAACCAAGGTTCAGCAGTTTCCATAAGTTGTGAGAACATTGCACTAAAAATTAGAAAAATAATATAACGCCAATGTTAAATCTTCATTAAAGTAAAAATGGCGTAAAAAAATAAAAACAGAAAGTTTTTGTACTTACTAGGCATCATGTTCCAGATACTCAGGGTTCAAGAGAGTTTTCATTTCCTCACTTAAAAAAGCGATACAATCAATCAGAATGTGTAATTTTTTAATTGAAGGAGATGCAGAGGTTGCCTTATTCTATACTCATAAGCCAACTTTCATATAATGTGTAAATGAAAAAGAGTTAGCCTTTTTTCAATAAAAAGAGCAACTCCATTAACAAACGAAATCATTTCTTTCTATAAAGATCAAAAACAAATTAGCTGCCTGTCTGTACCACAATGAGGCAACTATCTAATTATTCCAAATAACAAAACTGAATGTGACAATACATTCCTTGAATGTGCCTGATCTAGAACCAACTGATTATTCCACAATCTATCACTTGTCCAAAACGAAACAAAAAAATATATAGTTACTGGTCAAATATCCCATATTAAAACAGTAATTTATTTTCTTTCAATGGCTTCTATTTTTATTATGTTTTAACATCAATTAATCAGTGACAGCACCTCTTCCAAATCTATTTTCGTGCTGCTTTTACTTTATAAAGGATTGAAACAGTTAAAGAAGCATGTAGAACTCATTTAAAAGCTATTTTTTTAAAAAGCAATTTGCAATCGTATATACTTTCCTATGGAGTATATTCTGCATATGTGTTTTTAAAAAGATAAAACTGACATGAAAACAGGATCCCAATACTAACTGCAACCTTATCATACTTCAGAATAACTGAGGCAACAGCAACTAAGATATGGTTACTATAGTCAGATCCAATAAATTTAGTATAATTAGAAAAACTCAAAGGAACTAGAAGACACTAATCTACAATATAGTAAACAAAAGTTGATTTGACAAATGCCCTGATATATGTTCAGCAAAATGGATGGCTACATTTGATGAATAAAGATCATATAAACACATGAAATATTATATGTTAATCCGTTGTTTTCGGCACAGAGAGAGGCTAGCCTGCGGAATATTCCTGAGGAAGTTTTATAATCCCTCAGCTCTCCATTCCCAAGATGCTTCCCGGCTGCCTCTCTGGCCCATCTAGTTAGGGTATCTTAAGTTAGAAAATAAATTCTAACAATCGGCCTAAGTTAAATACAAGATACACTAATTTATTATCTCAGCAAATAACTTCAGTAATTGTTATCTCAGAAACATGAGAAGTCATTTTGTTTCTTTATACTGGGGTTCTTTGGGGGACTGTTCTATTTATGAACTGAACTGAGTCTGGTGAGGACAAAATATCTCACACATAAGGTTCTCTTACAGCTCACTGTGAAAGAATGGGCCACTGGAGGATAGAACGTATGAGTATTAACAATCATCAGCACTTTGCCGTTACAACAAAAATGTCCTCTTCTTGATCCATCAGTTACATGTCTCCCTTTGGTACAGCTCTAAGACTTGCAAAGATATTTAGAATTCCAAGTTTGCCCCATGGCTGAAATGGGGTTACAGTTATTAAGCGGAACTAATCATCAGCCACATGAAACACAACCAAATGTTTACAATTTACAAAATACCTTCAATATAAAAGGTGTTGAGGTTAAAAAAGGATTACAGCAGGGCTGACAAAATAGATGCAGCTCATATACAAACTTGCCTTGGCTGTGCAGACTCACTGGCATGAAGAAAGGCTTGGTGGTCACAGTGGAGGGTGAAGACCATTGGAGCCAACAGCTCGTGCATGCCCTGAAATAGAGCCAGAGAAAGGGACGGGGGCATGTCCGGACTCCACTGGTGGACAGACGGGCTCAGCTAAAAGCCTCTGCAGCTGATCCCCGCCCCAGGCATTTTCGTATTATACAGAAGAGCATAAACATAAAAACCTACAAAGTGAGATTTTATCTAGTTTTAGAACTTGACTCCAATTCTACCACAGCAGGTATTCTTCTTTAAAACATGGAGAGCAGTTCTCTTTTAAATGACACAACAAACAATAAATCGGCATGGTAGACAACCTTGCACCTGTCAGTTGCTTCAGGATGTGTACTCATAAATATGAATTTCATTTATGCAAATTATAATCATACGCTACAGTGTAAAGATCTGCAGTAAGAAGGGCAACTAAGAACTGTAGACCTAAGGAAATTACATCCAATGTTTTCATTATATAATGGCTCAAAATTAGGATGTCTGTACATTTAGGAAGAGCTGAAGTCAGCTAGCTGGAAATGCTGGATAATAAAAGAAACAACCTTTAGCAGGTATGAGAGAAAACAAAGTTTTTAAAGTACGATTTTCAACATGTTTAAGCCAAGATGGCCATAATTTTTTTTCCTGTCTACTTCAACGATAAGGTTACTTTTCAATTCATTTAGTGATTTCACCAATACAACTTTCTTTTTCCTTATATCGTGTTCACCTGTGGATTACATACATAGGCATAGAAACAAAAAGGTATATTGGTTACTAAGTTGCCTTTCAAAGGGTATTATAAAAATCCATTATTTATCCATTCTTGTGAGGAAATAAGATATTCCACATCAGTGACCCGCCTTGTTAGCTGAGATTTTTTTCCCTACTTAGGCATCAAAAACATATTTTCGCAAGTTAAAAATGGATTGTACTCTTTTCTGCCTCTTAAAGTGTGTCACTATTTTCCTTTTGCCTACGATGATCTTTTACAAAAAAAGAAGACAAAACCCCCCTTCTACAGGAAATAACAATAAAATACTGAAGCCGAGAGAAGAGAGAGTTTTTGCCGATGGGATTAGAGGGAATCTCCTGTGATGGAAGGACAGCCACACGGACCTCTGCGCGGTCTGGCAGCTCTGTGCTGTTCGTAGGACGCTAGTTATTATCATAAAGTAATACAAAAGGAAACTCTGTCAGAGTTCATTTATAAGTTATCACTAGCCTTGAATGAGAAGGACTTAATTACACTTTTTACAAAATTATTTATGATCCATTGACAATTTACTTGTGATTTGGGACAAATTACCACACATCACTTCAATCTTTTTAGGTGACCGTCTCCTACTAAACAAATCTTGAAAAGACTATTCCTTAGAAGAACTTGGTACACACCCATAAAGAATGGAATTAAGTGTTGCTAATGTGCTTTAAAATCATTATGAGGGGTTTATTCTTCTAAAATAATCTCAAATTATTCCAAAGACCAAGTGACATAATTTTAATCATGAAAGTAATAGTTACTTACTGCACAGAACTACAGAATATCTAAAACAAAAACAAAAACAAAAAAAAAAAGGAAGGAGGGAAGGCAGGAAGGAAGGGAAGGAAGGCCAAAAGAGAAAAGAAAGAAAAATTAAAACTGTGATAGATATCTTTGCGGTAATCTTTTTTGCTTATTTCTGGTAATTTCCTTAGGATAAAGTCCCAAGAAGTAAAATTTCTGGGTAAATGAGCTAATAAGACATTTGATATATACAATTAACCTGCCCTTTAGAAATAATTCCCTCACTTTAGGGCATAAAAATCACCATTTCACATACCCTCATCTTTATTTGTAGTGTTTTTTAAAAATCCTGTCAAATTCTACAGTCAAATAGTTGTTTTAACTTATTTAAATGCTAGTGAGGTTGAAGACAAACATTTCAGTGGTCATTTTTATTTAATGAATTGCCCATTTTCTCCTAATGAAGAGTCTCCCTTCTCCTGATGATTTGTAATAGTTCTTCAGCAATTCAGGAAATTAACCCTTAGTTATTTTTGTTACAAATACTTTCCCATGTTTATAACTTGCCTTTTAATTTTGATTATGTCATAGTAAAGCTGTATACTTTAAAACAGTCAAATCAATAAATCATCTTTCATGATTTCTTATTTTGCTTTTATGGCAAAAAGACCTTCCTCATATTGAGATTAGATTAAATATACAGGTTCCTTTTTTACAGCTAATTCTTTACCTACCTGGTATTTAATTTTGCCCTGAAGAATAATATGTATTTTTCCTTCCCAAAGTGTTAAACTAATTTATTGAATAATCACCAATTATTGAATAATCCATCTTCTCCCAAGAGTTCTGAAATGTCATCTTTATCATAAGCTGAATATTTAGCTCTCATTTTTTCTGAGTTTTTACTGGTATTCCATTGGTTTATATACTCTTAACAGGAACTTTACTACTGTAATGTCTTGAGCTGTAAAATACTCCATTTCCCCATATTTTCTATTCTTTTTCTCAAAATTATCTTGCCTATTCTAACATCTTTTCATCCAAATGAAAATGTAATTTAGTTACATAAAATGCTAAACAAAATACTGCAATTTTTATTGCCATTGCATTAAAATTAACTTGAAGAAAACAGACTTCTTTAAGAACACCAGATCTTCCAATCCAAAAATATGTGGAACTGCATAGTTTTTATTAGGTTTCTTACTAGGCTTTGGGTGTTGGTGTTGGTGGTGGCGGCGGCAGAGATCTTCTGAATAGAACTCTTCCCTGCAGTATGCTTTCTAACTAATTAAGGCTGGTTTAGTACGAAAAGGTTCTTGCCTAAATGTATCTTCTCACCTTCCCTGAACATTCTCTTCCCTCTAGTTTCTGTGACACTCCTTTCGCCAGATTTTGCTCATTCACCTTCATTTATTCCAAAAATTATCTATTAACTACCTATGACGTGCTGGTAACACAAAAATGAATGGAGTGGGCAAACTCCTGACCATTATGGAGCCTGCAGTCTAAACAGCAAGACACACAATAATAAAATGAGCACAGAAGTACTGTAGGTTATAAACTGGGACAAGTGATACATATATGTATATGTATGTACATACATACATAGACAAACCCAGCTCCTCCTACGGGCTCGGCACATACAAGGTGCTCACTGCATAGTGACTGAATGAATGAAATAGCTTCCACTCAATATAGTGAGGGGTAGATATTTCATTTATCAACACAAGGGTAAAAGCTGAACTACGATAAGATGAGAAATGGAAAAGAATCATCCTGAATTATATTTCAATATTTCCCATCAATAAATAAGTGCTTTTTGTATAATGGAAATTAAGAGTCCCCTGAATACCATTAAGACAATCTTTTACACATTCAGTGTTGACTTCCAACCAAACTAGGGATATTTTTCTCGAATAGACTTGTAAGAGATTACTGGTTTTACTCTCAATTCTAGATTAGTAAAAACCTGATTAATAATTACAAGTGGCAAGCAAACAGACATCTTTAAAGGAAAAGAGAACTATCTGGAAAGAATGATCATAAATTCAATATGCTGTAAATCTGACAAAGCATAATGAAAAAGAATGTATTGTCGGTACACTTCTTCATTCCCAAAATGTGTATTTTGCGTCCATCCACACCATTAGCGTTTCTGCTTGCTTACAGCCTTTTTCCCCGCTGGATCCTTAGTAGTCACTGCACTCCAAACTCATGCCAGTTGAAAAGAAAGGTAACAAAGTTTTCCTCATCAACAGCCTGTAGGCTCACAAAATTGAACGTGTTCTTTTATCTGCCTGTGTTCATTTAGCCCACCAAGCAGTCTTTATTAAAGCTGAGGCATCAGGCAGTCAAAGTTCATTAATACCATTTATATAATCTCTGCAGTTTCAATTAACTCAGCAAGACATTCTACTACATAACAGTCTCATTAATTCAATAAAATCCCATAACTATTAACAATATGGTTGATGTTAAACGGGGTGTCACCTAGTGCAAAATAATAGCTTTAGCAGCTTGTGATGAAACTTAAGGTTTTTTCTTAAATTTGATCTGGCTAAAATATTCAGTCCTTTTACAGCAAGGGATTCTTCCTATGTAAAGAATCTATAGAATTTTTAACATTAACAGGGAGTAATTTCAATCTTAGAAAGTGATACACAGGAGTAAATTAATAATACTTTCCTATTCAGTAATTGATGGACTTTGTCTAAATGATCAAGAGTCTGATCTGTTTATAGGCTTCCTCACAAACGCAGTGGGCTGCGTGCCTCACAAACGGTGGATGGTGCAGTTACGATGTTTTGGTTCCTTGTCCGTGGAACTTGCTTCCATTATTATAAGATTACCTGAATCTAGATTTTTCTTTCTCAAAAGAAAAAGAGGAAACAAATGTATAACTTGGGATAATTTTATTCCGACTTGATTCGTTATCATCAAATCTTTTACTGTGAGATATTTCCAAATATTTGAAAGAGAAGAGGGCACACTGAGGAGACAGGCTTGATGACAAAAGCCAACACAATGAGAAGAGGAGAAGAGAAAAACAGAAATAAACCTGGATCACTGGTGAAGAGCCTGAGGTACTGAACTAACAAATGCTGTGGAAACATTCTGCCCCCAGACTTCTTGCAAAGTGTGTTAATAACGTCCTTAGACTGTAAGTCATTCTGAATGGAATTTTCTGTTATTTGCTTCCAAAAGCTCCTGATATACTGATTGAGATTTATTTTCTCCCAGTCTCCTTTTTGGTTTGTTTTTGGTCTTTGCACGTTATATCTGACCTGAATAGCCTGTCTTGCTTGGGAAGACCTTTCCTACCCTGAGATTATAAAAAAAAGTTCTCCTAAATGTTTTTTCCAGAATTTTTATGTAATTTTAGTTTTTATAATTATATTTTTACTCCATCTGGAATTTCTTCTCCCAATAATGGTATAATTTAATCTTTTTTAGATAGAAAGCCAAATACAGCATGTCAATATCCTTTTCCCATTGAAAGAAAACGTCCTATCTTATATGAAGATCTCATTTACAACTGAACCTGTTCTTAGCTTGTTCCACTGATCTATTTCTCAGTTCCCACATTACTGTCACATTGGTTTGATCACAGAACATTTATAACAGTTTTCAGATCTCCCTGTGCCATTCTCCCCTTCCCCTGAATTCTGTGGCAGCTCCAACATATTTAATACTGACTGTAGCAATGATCACCATCACAGCTACCAACATGAACTCATAATGAGCACTACATGTTTTTAACTCTACAAAGTCAATACTATTATTGCCCTCATCAACGAAACTAAGGATTAGAAAAGTTACATGTGTATATTGTCTAAGACAAGGTAGCTACTTAAAGTGTTGGAGCCGAGATTCAAATCAAGGGATCCGAGTCTAGAGCCAGTGATCTTAACCACTAAGCTGTATTAACACCATTAAAATGACTATAAAGCTTCTTGGTGTAAAATTTAAAATCACTGTGCCCGGTTTTTAAAAACCATATCTCTCACTTAGACTATCAATGGAATGATAACACATTTATATATTAATTTGGGAAGAAGTAATATTTTTACTTAATGTCTTCCCACCTAAAAACACGTTATCACTTTTCTATTTATTCAACTCTTGCTCCAATAACATTTATAGTTTTCTTCATATAGCTTTTGATTCTATATTATTACATTTATTTTTAGACATTTTATAGTTTTGGTTGCCATTATGAGTAGGATATATTTTTCCATTTCCCATTCTAAAAGCTAAATATCACCATGTAATTAATATAAAGACATAGTATTGAAACTAAGATAAAATTAGTCCCCTTGGATATTCTATGTACACAATAACAAATACATTATTTAGGACAACTGTAATATGACTTGATTTATTATCTTTAAACAAATTAAGTCTATCTCAAATTAAATACACTGCTCTCACCATGCAGATGTTTTCTGTTATATTACACTGAATTTGGGTTGTCATCAGTTGGATGTCATAACTTTGGATTGTTAGAGAATTTATTAATATAGTTTGAATTCTCACTTAATATGCATTTTGAGAAATACATAAAAATATCTAACTTTGCGTATTTTTATTGGAACCCCATAAGGTTAAATGCAAACCTAGATACTTCTTTATATATTAAATTAAAAATTTACATTTTGAAAAGAATAAACATAATCCAATAATCTTCTTTAATAACGAGATGAATTAAACATCAAGATCACAAGAATATCATATAAATTTCAGAAAGTTTAAAGGAACTTTCTGCAGTTATATTACTGGTAGATTTTGAAGAGTAAAAGGACATTTGATTATTCTCTACATGACATGCCACATATTTATAAATGCTGTACTTAGAAACAATATTTATATATACAACTCTGAAAAGCTTTATTACTAGATTGCCTTCAAAGATGCTGTTTATAAACAAACTCTCAAAAGTTGAAAGCAAAGATTGAATGCCTCATAGAAGACAATTTGGTGGAATGTCTTATAATAAGGAAGAAGCATATGTGCGTCAATGAGCTTACCTTTCTCACCATGCAGCTGACAAGCAGCTCTTTGATTGCTTTACTATTATGATGCAACTTTGGATACAATAAAGGCTACATTATTGCTCTATCATTTGTCAAGCTGTATAGAAAATTCTGAGTCAATGGATGCCACCTGTACGATATTTTCATTACCTGCTTATAAAGCAACTGCTCGTTTTCTCTAGCATAACAGAAAAGAACATCTGTAAGAATTTTTCTCACATTTTCTTGTTGGAAAAACTGCATTTCAGGAAACCTGAAAAAAGAAAACACAGGATTGAAATCGGCTAGCACAATTCCAAGAATTACCCTCAAATTCTCATCTCTGAGAGGTGCCATGGGCAGCTTTTGGTTTTAGTACAAGTCTGTATTTGCCAGGCAACTTATGCCATAGGTGGGACTCATGTGTTAAAGAAAAAAGGGTGAGAAAAAGGGAAACTACTGGATACCCTTCAACATCTAAATATTTCAAATGTCTTCGTATGTAAATGTCATCAGATGCATGATGAATACAACGGTTTTTAAGCAAAACAAATTATAGCCTGTGCATTTGGTGTGGGGACTGCTCTGTTTTACCCCATTTGGTATACTGTGATTTTGTAAGTACCAACTTTGTGAAAAAAATCATTATCCTATTTTTTTTGATGCAAATACCATGATTTAAATTATTATACATGACCACACCATTAGTTTTATTTGATTAAAACACAGACTTCAAATGGACTGAGTTAGTCAGTATTGCTTAAATGATCTCTGGATCAAAAATTCTACCAGGTGCTTTGAGGTAATGTGAAATACAAAAGGGCAAGAGTATCCACCTGAAAGGAGCTTAAATAGTTGTTTATAATGCAAGAATTTACGACTGCAACAACCCAAAGAGCAAATACAGAGCAGTGCAATACACAGTGACTATACAGTCGACCCTGTGGATTCCTGGGTTTCGAATCTGCAGACTCAACCAACTGTGGATCAAAGATGTTTGGGGGAAAAAAATTCCAGAAAGTTCCAAAAAGCAAAACTTGCATTTGCCAGCATGCCAGCCACTATTTACATGGCATTTACATTGTAGTAGGTATTATAAGAAATCTAGAGATGATTTAAAGTATATGAGAGGATATGCATAGATTATATGAGAATATTACTCCATTTTATACAAGAGAGTTGAGCATCCATGGACTTTGGTATCTGTGGGAGTCCTGGAACTAATCTCCTATGAATACCAAGAGACGAGCCTATAAGGGAAGAAGGAATGTCATCTAGAAATAAGCAGCAAATGGGTTCAATCACAAAAGGTTTGAACAAGAATTTTTAGGAGAGGAGGAACATGGAACATCTGTGGGAAAGGTAACCAAATCAGAAGGAAAGCTATGAAGACACAGAAGGCAAAGAGTATTCCAAATGCAGAGCACTGTATGGTATTAGTAATGCAAAAGGAAAGTATCAATACTTCTGTGAAGTACTGCCACTTGGCAGCAGGGCAACAGGACAGAAGAAAAGGTGGGAGGTGTAGAAAAGAGCTTTGAATGCAGTATTTACAACTGAGGAAAAGCAACAGAGTGACTCTACATTTCTGAATAGGGAAGTACCAAAGAAGACAGTATTTGAGTAACTCTAAGTGGGATTAAGCCTGCAGGAGGAGAGACTGCAGGAAGGAGATAAGAGGACATTATACTGAGGTGAAATGGAAAAATCACAAACCTGAGAAGAAAAGCCGAAGTTCAGATCCCTGTTGCATAATTGCTGGCTGTGCGACCTTGAGTAAATGGCTGCTTAACGGCCTCATCTATAAGTAGCGATAATAATACTGATCTTGTGAAGATGGAATAATGTGAAAGCACCAAGAACAGCGCCTGGCAGCAGACGTTCAGGAAGAGAAGTGATTGCTAGTCTCTGAGTACTGGTACTTTAGGTGATGAAGATGTGAATGAGGTCACATTGGAACTAGAAAACACGAGAATATGTAGTAAATACGCAAGAGGCTGAAAAGGAGAAGCGCCTAGAGCACGGAGGCACGCGGCATCACGGAAACAGAAAAATCTCCTTCGTTAGTCTCGTAAAGGCAGCAATGGTTATTTTATTCATATTCTGATGGTTCACTGCTTCCTATCTCTGGCAACCTCTGCTCTTTTCTGCTTCCTTCTGATCCTCTTCGGGCACCCTGTGAGAGTGAGAACTTTCTCTCCAGTTCAGGCGGTTTGTGAAGCATCTCTTTCCTGGGCCTAATTTTTATAATAAATTACAGCCTGTTTCATCTTCATCTGTTCATTTGACTTTTGCTTGAAATTCCCTTGGATGTACAATTTGTCCCCAGACACAGGTATCTGACCTGTTCTCTACCAACAAGGAAGCCTCTCCTTTGGGGGGCCGGTAATCAACAGTCCATGGGTCTGAACAATGTTATCTCAAGTCCATGCTTGAGATGGATGGCCCCCCAGACAGCCATCCAGATTAATGTGATGGCCCCCCAGACAGCCCAGACTGAAGCTCAGGAGTCTGACTAGGCACAAGTGACCACAGCTCCCAAAGAGGAGAGAAATTACCTGAAAGCAGATTCAGAGCAAGAATAATAACTATATCTTAGAAGCCAAAGAAGTTCCAGAAAGGTGTCAAATGCACTGAAGCAGGAAAGAAACAGAAAAACTTGTTAAATGACTTATTTGGGACAAAAGAAAGCTGCTAAAACCTTTAGATAGTCAAATATCCCAAATTAGAGTAATCAGGATGAAAGATAGGTAAGTAGTTAATAAAATGCTGGAAAGAAATTTCTTGGGAAAACTTAGTCACTAAAGTAAAAACAGAGTAACCCTTCTGAGACAAAACTGTTCCCCCTCCTTCCTCATCAGATGACTTAAATCTAGCCCTGTCGTGAAGTAGGCTTCCTGTCCCAGGATCTGGACAGATCACACGGATGCGTGATTTTGTGTGTCCCCTTCCATATCTATGCTTTGGAAACTGTCTATGAACAATGGCACCACCAAATTCCCTACAGTCACTGCAATCTGAATGGACTATGGGAGAAAGTACTAAAACCTACAACATTCACTTTGTAACAAATATCCATGAACTATATAAAGTAAGAATTTAATACCTTACTACTAAAAATGTAAATTATATTACATATCAATTCACAGTTTCATTTAAATGCATACTAACCACTCGCAAGACTAAAAACTAGAGATCTATAAGAATCAAATTGCAGGTAGATAATTTAAATTACCCAGTTTTAGCAAATACCCAATCAACTGAAAATGCGTATTAGGCAGACAGAGCATATCTATGTGATAGCACACCATCCACAATTCTAGTCTACAATGCTGAAGTGTCAATTTAGGAAGTTTCAGGATATCCTCTTTTTTAGAAAAGTGTGAGGTGCTCTCTAAATTCTGATGAAGAATCCATAGCATCAAACAAGTAACATGGGAAAGATTTCAGAAGAGTTCCAAAAAAGAAACAAAAATTTATGCTCTTTTCAGAAGCTGGAAAAAGAGATGACATTCAGAGAAGTTATAAGGTGAAAGAGTCCAGTTCAGAAGGTAACAGGTAAGGAGAACGGAAGCAGAGAGATTAATACCTGCTCCAGTATATCTGGGTAGTTAGCAGGTTAGCAGTACTTCCCAACTGCTTTGCTAAACAATGTGTCAGAGATATACATTGAAGTAAAATTCCATGAGTTTAAAGTTACACAGAAGAACCTAGGTCATAAGGTTGATGAATATACCTGAATAATAACATATTTGCTACAACAAATACTTGGTTTCGTATTAACAGGCTTCAAGTAAGAAGGCGTTCCATCTATAGGAATCAGAAATAAAAGGGAGAAAAGTAGTGAGTAGATTCTCTAGGAATAGTGATAAGCAGCTTTGATGATAGGTTTTAAGTTTCAAAATAGCTTCCCTAACATCTGGTGTTGATTCAGGGCAGGTAATCTGAACAGTAGTCTAACCCGAATATCACTGGAAAGGCAAATCTGGTTTTGAGACAATAACAAAAATCACAGAATACAGACCGAGGCTGGAGTCAACAACTGAAGATTTTGAAAAATCAATAGTGACTCTACAGTTTCATGCAAAAAAGAGAAATGGTAGTATATTCATTAAAGATGAGATAGAGGAAAAAAAAACTTAGGATTGAAACTAGAGACATTTATGATTCACTCAAGCCAAACTATCTGATAGGAAAGTAAAAGGAGAAAAGAATCACAATAAATGGGAACTGAAGAGAAATTCTAAATTATTATTAGAAAATGAAAGTCAAGAGACCTAATTCCTGCATTTGGCCAGAAATGAAAGTGGAGATGGTAAACAGGTGAGGATGAAACTCTGACAGAGATAAAAAGCAAAGAGAAATTAATATTAAAGTATTCCATGATGTGATTTAGACTAATACCATCAAACATTTTTACCTGATGGAAAAAAAGGTGATAATTCAGTTTTTTGTTTTTTGTTTTTGCGGTATGCGGGCCCTCTCACTGTTGTGGCCTCTCCCGTTGCAGAGCACAGGCTCTGGACGCGCAGGCTCAGCGGCCATGACTCACGGGCCCAGCCGCTCTGAGGCATGTGGGATCTTCCCGGATCGGGGCACGAACCCGTGTCCCCTGCATCGGCAGGCGGACTCTCAACCACTGCGCCACCAGGGAAGCCCGATAATTGTTTTAACTTAATAGATCAATATTTAAAATGCAGGAGTTTCTCTCTCAAGATGTGTGCAGGTATTAAATAGACAAATTTTACATAGTGCAAACTAACATCAAGAGATATAAAAGTCTGCTGTGTGAGTTTTGGTTTGTATCTTGAAATAACCCCACATTCGTAGGCAGTATAGTTTTCAACTTAAGTTTTAAAAAAATCTTTCATTATCTAAAATCTTTCATATATAATCTTTTCATTATAATCTTTCATTATAAATTCCAGCATTTATATAAGAGACAATAGTAGACTGAATTTCAGTATAGCTATCGCCCAGCTTCATCATTAATCAGTTTTTTTTTTTTTTTTACATATCCTCCTCTCTCAATGTTGCATTTTGAAGCAAACCTGAGACATCACTACACCCATAATATTGCAGTGTGTATTTCTAAAACATAAAGACTCTCTAAAAACATAACCATAGCACCACTTTAACACTATAACTAATAAAAATAATCCATTGATTAAATCAAATATACAATCAATGTTCAAATTTGCCTAAATATTTTTCAGTTTGTTTCAATCAAGATCCAAGAATTTACACTGCAACTTGTTGATATAGCTCTTAAGT